TAAATGACCGGTCCCTAAGCAGCATAAAGTTCTACGCCATATATGTTAAATTAAAAAATTCCTATAGAATAGGTAACGTATGAAGGAGACTTCAACATAGACAGCCATTTTGCATGGAAGTTGAGTGCGTAATCTCGTATTACACTGTCATAGAAATAGCGCAAAAAGGCATAGAAGTAATTCGGTCCCCAGGATAATTTTAGTATGTTTATAACCAGCATAAAAATGTACGCCATATATGTTAAAATAAAAAATTCCTATAGAATAGGTAACGTATGAAGGAGACTTCAACATAGACAGCCATTTTGCATGGAAGTTGAGTGCGTAATCTCGTATTACACTGTCATAGAAATAGCGCAAAAAGGCATAGAAGTAATTCGGTCCCCAGGATAATTTTAGTATGTTTATAACCAGCATAAAAATGTACGCCATATATGTTAAAATAAAAAATTCCTATAGAATAGGTAACGTATGAAGGAGACTTCAACATAGACAGCCATTTTGCATGGAAGTTGAGTGCGTAATCTCGTATTACACTGTCATAGAAATAGCGCAAAAAGGCATAGAAGTAATTCGGTCCCCAGGATAATTTTAGTATGTTTATAACCAGCATAAAAATGTACGCCATATATGTTAAAATAAAAAATTCCTATAGAATAGGTAACGTATGAAGGAGACTTCAACATAGACAGCCATTTTGCATGGAAGTTGAGTGCGTAATCTCGTATTACACTGTCATAGAAATAGCGCAAAAAGGCATAGAAGTAATTCGGTCCCCAGGATAATTTTAGTATGTTTATAACCAGCATAAAAATGTACGCCATATATGTTAAAATAAAAAATTCCTATAGAATAGGTAACGTATGAAGGAGACTTCAACATAGACAGCCATTTTGCATGGAAGTTGAGTGCGTAATCTCGTATTACACTGTCAAAGAAATAGCGAAAAAACGCATAGAAATAATTCGGTCCCCAGGGTAATTTTAGTATGGTTATAACCAGCATAAAATTCTACGCCATATACGTTAAAATAAAAAATTCCTATAGAATAGGTAACGTATGGAGGAGACCTCAACATAGACAGCCATTTTGGATAGAAGTTGAGTGTGTAATCTCGTATTACACTGTCATAGAAATAGCGAAAAAACGCATAGAAATAATTCGGTCCCCAGGATAATTTTAGTATGGTCATAACCAGCATAAAATTCTACGCCATATATGTTAAAATAAAAAATTCCTATAGAATAGGTAACGTATGGAGGAGACCTCAACATAGACAGCCATCTTGCATGGAAGTTGAGTGCGTAATCTCGTATTACACTGTCAAAGAAATAGTGCAAAAACACATCTAAATCATTTGGTCCACAGCACAATTTTAGTATGAGACCTCAACATAGACAACCTATTTTAAGGTGTATGATAATCTATATATAAAATATTAAACAACACCATGCGACTGAAAGATCGTGTAATTTTATATGGACTATGGTTTATATGGCATTGGGTTTTTGAAAAAAATTTTGCTTCCTAAATGGTGAAAATTGCTTGAGACCTTCGGTTGTATTAATGTTGCTGCAAAGATTAAAATGTAAATGATTCTCCCCATGCTAATGCCTATTTTTAAGTTCAACTCTTTTAAATGATGGGAAATAGCGATCTCACCACATGTGGTCGTTATCTGTTTAATTATTACTCTTTTAATCTGGTGAAAAATGTCGGTGCAAATGTTGTGATGAATGTCGTGATGAATGTCGTGACCAATGTCGTGACAGCTTCACTTCAGTGAAAACCTCAAAGCCGCGAACGAGGGCCGCGAACGCTATCAAAATACTCAATTTTTATATACTCAAACTGAAACGGAGCCATTGTGTTCGACTGTTCGCACTGAAGTGTAAATTAACTCATTTCAATCACTCAAACGTCAAAATGATAAATAATAATAATTTTCAATCTATTATAGTAATTCACCGTTTTCACGTTTTTTTATACCTTTAAAAAGTTGCAATAAATCTAAATCTAAAGGAAATAACGTTATTTAGTTATAAATTTGATAAAACTTAATTGACCCACCTTGTCCTTGTTATTGTTATTATTACTGTCGCTTGCAACTAACTATTAATTAAGGTTGCTTATAATTTAAGAATATTGCCTATATGCGTGTTTCTGCTGGGGTCTAGAGAGTCATTTTTTAGTCAAGTAAGTATTGTTTACATTTTTTGTTATTGTCGCTACTTGACATGTGCACCGCAGCATGCATGCGTCTTCCGCTGTGCGGAAGTACTCATACTCGTGAATACTGCATGTAAGATACAGCCAAACGAATCTCCGTGGAATCCCCTACTTAAGGTGGCTTTTCGACTAAAAAATTACTGTAGGGCCCCTTTAAGTTTTCTTATTTTGACATAACAGTTATTTTTCAATAAATATATTGATATTTTAAACTTAATTGAATCAATATTTTAAGTTTCATGCCAGTTGTACCAAAGATTTATATAAGCGCTATAGTGCTTCATAAGTTTCAGATGGCATGCAACATGTACGCCCTGCGTACCTATTTTTTTACAAATTTTGCAATTCCAGCATGCCAAGGCCCCCTCCCCGCAAGTTGGGCCCCCAGTTGATCTGGCCGCCCCAGACTCCTAGTTGTTTAGGTAAACTCAATCTTCTCAGCAAAAATGGACCCAGCAAAAGAATCTTGAAAAAAAATGTGTGCTTTCTTAGCATGATTAATGCGTGAATATAGTAACTGACTGTCTGACTGCAAACACGTATTTTACCCGGCGTACTTAATCGATAAAAAACGATCATCAGAAATCCAATCGATCAATTGATGGTAATCGATGTTAATTACTTAATTGATATCGATAGCCAATCGATAGTCACAAAAAGTTATAACCAATTTTATTGATTATTATCGATATTCATCGATTTTCATCGATATTTATCGATTTTTATCGACAAAATGCTTTCGATTTTTATTGATTTATATCCTAAATAATTGCAAACCTAAATAGTAAATCTGTTCTCATTTTTCAAATGTACACATGTATTTGATCTGTATTATAGCTAGATGAAAACTTAATTTAATCCATTGTTACTGAATTCCGTTCACATTTGAGTTTGTTACGAAATTAAAGTACGTATTAATTAAATTACGGCGTTACCTGTTTGATTGCATGCATATTAACAGAGGATTTTTTCATCAATGAAAATTAATAATAAATCGATGATCAATCACAGCAAAAGAAACCATCGATTATTCATCGATTTCCAATATCAATCGATTGATAAATATCGATTGGTATTGATTGATATCGATACTCATCGATTATCGATTTCATCGATTAATTATTATTAAAGTACGCGGGGATTTTAATACCAAAAAAGCGTTAATTCGTTTTAGAAAACGTCTCGCAAGTCGCAACGGAATCAATAAACTTACTGATTCAAGAACACCATGCAGTTCTTTTATTTCCTCTTCAATTTTGTTTTTTTTGTCGATTAAAGTTTGAACATTTTTCGTTTTTTCAGCCACTTCGTCATCCGCCATGTTGTTATCAGTAGCGCTGGCCGTGATAACGCAGGCTCAAAAACAAAACAACAACAAGTTCACTCGATGCTCATTGACAATTACAAATTCAGAAAAAATGCAAGATATTAGCTTTGAAACGAACAATTGGGAACAAATAGTTATGATTTGAACAGTTCCATTACTCCTTTCGTTGGTATAGGGTGTGCAAGCTAAGTTTCAACATGCGAGAAACTTGATTTTTTTGTGCGCTTTCAACGCAACAAGTATTATAAACCTTGATTTATTATAAAAGGGCATTAGTATGTCCTCAGACTCAGAGAAACGGGAAGAAAGGGAAGCAATTTTAGATGAAGAAGGCGATGTATACGAAACCCCAGAAGAAATTGAACTAGATGAACGTCAAGCTGTACACGAGGAGGAAAATTGGGAGTCGACAGGAGACAGTGACACCGAAAACGACAGTGATCCTTCGGGCACGGACAGATTATCAAGCGAAAATGCTGATGAGCTTGATAGTCCATGTCTCTGCAAGGAAACAAGTGGAAATGATGAAGGGAAAGCTTCAGTGTCGAGTAGTAATAATAAAAGAAAATTAAGGTCAAAGAAAGCTTCCTCCCAAGAGAACAGTGATGATAATGATAGCTGGGACAATAGTGACTCAGATGAGGAACCAGAGCTTTTGCAATCTACTGACAGTGACTCTGATAATGGACCTACTACTGACGAACCTAAAACTTTAGAACGTTTAGGAATCGCGTTGAATAAAAGTGAACGTATCTGGAAGAGCCATAAAAGTTTGCATTCTCGAGAGTTAGGTTTCAGCACACCGTATTTGTTTACAAGGAATGTGACAGGTTCATTAAACATGATTCAGAAATTCAAATTGGAGAGAAAGCTTGAATATCATACTGGATGTGTAAATAC